AGTGGGTTTCATGGCCAAGCTGGGAATTGAAACCTGGTCTCCAGAGTCGTAGGCCAATGCTCAAACCACTACGCCATGCTGGTGGAGGTTTCGTATTCTCTTCCATGTTCCACAATAACCAAAGCCCCCTTGACTCACCATTGTGCTGTGATAGCCCTCACCCTGGCCATTCCACTGCTGGTAGACAGGATCAGCAAAGTCTCTCGATATGGTCCCATAACCAGGCAAACACTGAGAACAACTGCTGAGACCTCTGGAGAACCCCTGTAGCGCTTGGAAGGGGTCCTCCATCTGTGTTTGGCTGTGGAAGCACAGCCAAATGTTTCTCTGATCTCCTTTGCTCTTCACCGGCCACAAAATGGCCATGGAGCTGGCAACTGCAGAGAAATGGTGAGTCCACAGTGGAATTTGCATGGGTGGGTGTGCATGCAACTACCTTCTTTTCCATTACATCTTTGTCTTCCTTCTCTTCCTCTGTTTTCCCATTTTTATTCCTCTGATGGGTATAATAATAATAATAATAATAATAATAATAATCCCACTGCATGTTTGTCTATTTTTAAACTATCAGGTACGGGTAGGTTTATTTTATGCCACAGGCCAGTCGCTTACTGCATTCATATTTTAAATAATCATTAAAAGATAATTTTTCGTAACTTTTGAGAAACAGTCAATTTTAAAAAAAATGTGATTATGGTCCAAAACACACTGCTGAAATAATCCAGACTGAGACCACTTTAACTGCCCTTGGTCAGTGCTAGGGAATCCTGGGAATTGTAGTTTGTCTTGGCACCAGAGCTCTCTGATAGAGAAGGCTAAATGTCTCACAAAACTACACTTCGCAGAATTCCCTAGCATTGTGGTCTCAAACTGGTCTCAAACTGGATTATTTCAGAAGTGTGTGTTGGATTTACGAGGCCATCTGCACTGAAGAAATAATCCAATTTCACACTACCTTTTTAATTGGTGTGGCTCAATGCTATGGAATTCTAGGAATTGTAGTTTGTTGTAGCCCCAGAGCTCTCTGACAGAGAAGGCAAAATGTTTAATAAAACTACACATCACAGAATTCTATAACATTGAGCCATGGCAGTTAAAGTGGTGTCAAAATGGACTATTTTTGAAGTGCGGATGCAGCTTATGTTTTTAACATACTACTTTTTGAACCTTGGAACTACAATTGTAACTAATTAGTTTTTAACAGTTTAAAAACAATAACTTTCCATGCCTTTGAGGAAGTAGACTCATGCTACCAGCTTCTTTCTTTCAGCTAGTCTGAAAGGTGCAACAAGATCCCTTTGATTTCCATATTCTAAACAGCCAGCGGTATTAATATGACCATTTATTTTAATTCAGCATGGAATAGACATTTAAAAGATCAAAAGCAATATTGCTCAAGGACAGGAGCAGGATCTATCTTACTGGGATCCAAGGAGATGATTATTTTGAAGAGCATTGAAGCTTACGGTCAAATTGGATCAGAGTGATGCACGCCATAAATGGGAAGCATAGGAGGAGTTGTGATCATAAGAGCTACTAGAAAGGCCTGAAGGCAAGGAGTAAGCTTTCACGAGTGTGTCTGTTTTTTAAAAACTGTTTGCAAATTAATTGAGCAGCAAGACTTTTTATCAACTCTTTTGCTCCTTTGCTTGCATAAATTGCCAGCCAATTTGACCTGCAGCAGAATTCTTTCCCAATCTCTGAACTGCAATAATTAGATTTTGGCTGTAGCAGCAAAAGCCCTACAGTTGGCTGCTGGTGTACAATAGAATTATTTCATTACATATCTCTGCTGCTGAGTGGCAAAAGAAATGTGGAGCCTCTGTGCATAACCAAAGTGTACATCCAGGAACACTTTTACTCACATATAATATTCCCACAAGTTTTTTCCCCCCAGAGACAGTAGCACAATCTTAGCCTCAGAAAAAATAGGAGTAAAGATAGAAGAAAGGAATATCAACAATTTAAAGATATGCAGATGACACCATACTACTAGCCGAAAACATCACAGACTTGGAACAATTACTAAGGAAGGTCAAAGAATAAAGTGCAAAGGCAGGCTTACTATTGAACATAAAGAAAACAAAAATAATGACCATGGACGACTTAACATAAATTGAACCTAGACAATGAGGAAATCGAAATAGTAAAAGCATCCCCGTACCTTGCATCAAACTGCAAGTCAAGAAATCAGAAGAAGATTAGGAATGGATAGGGCAGCTATGAAAGAACTAGTAAAGAGTACCTAAAGAGTAAAGTTATACAACTGAGCACTAAAGTCAGAATTGTACAAGCCATTGTATTCCCTGTTGCCACGTACAGATATGAAAGCGGGATGGTGAAGAAAGCAGATAAGAAGAAAATCAATTCATTTAAGATGTGGTGCTGGAGAAGAATGCTGAAGATAATGCGGATGGCCCAAAAGACAAACAAATGGGTCCTCGAACAGATCAAGCCTGAAATCTCCCTGGAAGTGAAGATGATGAAACTGAGGTTGTTGTACTTTGCCCACATCATAGAATCATAGAGTTGGAAGAGACCCCAAGGGTCATCCAGTCCAACCCCCTGCCATGCAGGAACTCAAAATCAAAGCATCCCAGACAGATGGCCATCCGGCCTCTGTTTAAAGACCTCCAAAGAAGGAGACTCCACATCATGAGAAGGGATGACTCATTGGAAAAGACATTGCCATTTATAGGGCTCTGCAAATTGTAGAGCAGACTTACCCATCTTGGCACCCTCCAGTTGTTATTATTGATGTTGTTGTGTCCCTTCAAGTCATTTTCGACTTATGATGACCCTATTATGGGGTTTTCTGGGGCTGAGAGTGTGTGACTCATCCAAGGTTGGTCAGTGGGTTTCCATAGCCAAGCAAAGATTCAAACCCTGATCTACAGAGTGCTAGTTCTATGCTCAAGCCACTTCACCACACTTTGTCTCATAAACTGCATTTCTCTTTGTGAAGGTGGTGGTTGTTGTGTTCTTTAAAATCGTTTCTGACTTATGGCAAGCCTGGCGACCTTATTATGGGGTTTTCTTTGAAAGATTTGTTCGGGGGGGGTTGCTTTTGCCTTCTTTAGAAGCTGAGAGAGTGTGACTTGCCCAAGGTCATCCAATGGGTTTCCATGGCTGAGCAGGGATTCAAACCCTGGTCTCCAGAGTCATAGTCCAAAACTTAAACCACTACACCAGACTGGCTCATATCCTCCAGATGTCTTGGACTACAACTCCCATCATGTCCAGTCAGCATGGTTTAGGCTGGATTAATAAATAAAAAGGGAAGAGAGACAGCATGGTATAGTGGCTGCTTGAGTGGTACACTATAACACTGGAGACCAGTGTTCGATTTTCACTTCAATCATCAAGCCCACTGGGTGCCTTGGGCAAGCCACAAGCTCTCAGCCTTAGGGAAAGGCAATGGCAAACCTCCTCTAAACAAATTTTGCCAAGAAAATCCCATTACAGGGTCACCCTTAGGGTTTCCATAAGTCGGAAATGACTTGAAGGCACACAACCACAATAATAAAAAGGAAAAAGACAGCCTGGAGCAGAAAATTGGAAAAGTTACTTTTAGGAGCTACTGGTCATGCCACCTGAAGGATTCTGGAAGCTATAACCCAAAAGTAACTTTCCCAAGCTCTGTCTTGGGTGCATTTGCTCTTCTGACATGCCACTGTTCATACAGAGGAACACAAGCCCCACAGACTTACTGGAGGCGACATGCCTCTCAATGCTAGTTACTGGGAAACAATGACAGGGATTCACTGCCACATCGTATCATGATGCCTGCCAATTTCAGTGGCTTTAAAAGGGAATTAGGTCAATTCATGGAGGCTAGCATCCTCAGGATGGATATATCTCACCAACCAAATGGGATGCAATGCACTTCTGTGTATTAGTTGCTGGGGAATGTGAGCTGGGGGATGCCTTTGCATTCACTCATGTGCTGGTAGCTTCCAGGTAGTCAAGGTGGTGAAACCACTTTGGGATTAGTCTTAGATTTAAAGCTCTCCAAGCTGTTTGGGGAATAGCGTTCAACACTTAAAGATGGAGCCTTTGGACTAAAA